GATCCAACTGCTCATAGATGGATTCTTGAGATTGGAGGTATTCAAGTAGCTTGTCAAACCGGTTCTTATGAGTAACAGCATGCCTTGGGTCAGCAGCATGGGTAAGCCAGTCTTTCTTCAGAGTCTCTGGTAATTTGCTTTCAATAGACTTTATTACCAACAGGTTTTTTATTGCATCTGCTTTATTTAGCTCACTCAGATCATAGAGGGCCTTTTCAACTGCTTGGATTAGCTCGATAATTCTTCTTGGCTGGTTACTACAAACAGCAGGGATAGCCTGTAGCTCTTCGATGATCTCGACTGCAATGGTGGCTTGATTCCCGTAACGGTTCTCGAGGACTCTGAAGATCTCATCTGTTGATGGGTATGTAGATAGACGCAGATCTCAAATTCTCTCGTCGAGGCTATCAAGCAGTTGGAACTTCTTCACCTCCACAGACCCAGACGGTTTGCCTTGTCTTTGAAGAGCCTCCCATTCCTTTCTCCAGCGGTAGAACTCACGTTGGTTACCAGTGAACTTTGGTAGGGCTGTGGCTTTCAGTTTTATGGCTGCAACAGGGGCTATGCTGTGGAGAGTGACAGGTGCTTGGATGGAGTCCCTTTTCATTCTTTCTTCTCTGATCAGGGCAGCTTTCTTTGACACCAGCTTTGGAAGGAATGTCTCGAGCTCAGTTAATCGAGGATCAAAGTCTCGCCTCTCAGCAGTAGGAGCCCAACGGTTCCATGACTGGTGTGCTTCTTTTGCTTTGCGCATCAGGTCTTCTAGATGAAGAAGCATAAAATAATATGCCTCCACTGGTGTGTCAGGCTGAGTGGAGGAGACATTCTCAATGTCTACTTCTGCAGTTTTTAGGGCGAGTGTTAGTTCTCTCTCACCAAACGAGATCCATAATGTCTCTCTAATCAGGTGCTTTGTCTCCTTTAACTTGAGCTCACATTCTTTCTCAGTCTTCTCAAGGTCAGCTCTTTGCTGGTCACTCAACTCATGTGTGCCTTCATCTTCACACTCTGCGATGTAAGCAGCCTCAAGCTCCTCATTCATAGCCATCACTTTGGAGCCCTCTACTGTGAGCTTCTTGAAGGCATCCTGTAGCTCCTCTACAGACATTTCCATGTGTGTCCTTGTTATTTGGTTGGTGAGTCTGGAGAAAAGTCTTTTTGCTGTGGTTCGTTCTACTTTCAGTTCCTCAAGCGACTTTGACTCAGCCATGTTGCTTTGTTTGTTGTTGGGTTGACAGATGGCAGGTAAACGGTTCCCTCCAGGCCCCCAGATGGAGTCTTCTCCCTCTTTGTGGTGGGCTTTGGTGGAGTCTTCACTGGTCAGGGCCAATTTCCCACTGGCCAAGGCGGTTTTCACTGTCAAGTGTTTCTTCTTTCTGTGAGGCGTCTACACTTGAAAAGACCAGACTTTGGCTTCACTCAGATATGTCTTTATTTGACCAGTTTCAGGATCATCATAAGTCAGTATCAGTATCAGTATCAGTATCAGCATCAGGTGAAAACCTTTAAATACAAAAATAGAACTGTTTAAAGATCACACACAGAAAAACGTAATGCGTTTTACAGGTAACACAAACTTAAAACATTTCAACCAACATCTGTAATTTAAATAGAAGGTGAGTACTTGAGTTCTAAGTAAAAGTATACTTTAAGGTTTAAACATATTCTAGTATTTAAATTAAACAAGAAAAGTTTTATTTTCTCAGATTTTACTACCTTATACATCCTTACTTTTACAGTTACTTTTTCAGTATTTAACCTGTGTTTTAAACATTTTAATTAAGGTTTTAATTAAGGATTGTTACAAATTATCTTATTTACATTTTAACTAAATTCAATAATTTCAGGATTTAAACAAAGAATCTTGGGTTACCATTTTTAAATATTAGATTTCTATAAATTGGGATGGAAACCCATATTTTCTGATAAACTTAAAGAAAAACCAAAACTTCCTCCTAACAGTTGTTTGCCACAAAACTTAGCTCAGAAAAAAGTCCATGTGAATCATCCCAAGAGCTTACCGATAGCCTGTCAAGATCAAAGTCCTCCTCACAGCTGAATTGTTTGCTTGCCATCTCAGTTTTGTCACACCCTGGTTGAATGACTGCTGCATGCATGAAGAAGCCACTAGTGGTGAGCTCTTGATTTCCTGATTTGGCTCACCTGGAGGAGCACAAACCAGAGTTCACAAGCCCCCTCTGGCCAGTGTGAAGATTGCATGCACAGCTCATGTGCAGACACTGTGCAGCAGAGTCAGCATGAGGATGAGACAGTTGACCTCTGCCAGGTCAGCATGACACTCCTCCTGCCACTTTTTCTGCTGGTGGGTGGTGCCTCGGTCTGCCTGGAAATCTGCAACTCCCGTGTCGGAGGTGGGAAGTTTTTGGGATATGTCGGGTTGCTCCCAGTGGCTGCCCGGTGGAGTCTGGATCCCTGGACTCTGTCTGGTCCCCAGCAGGGTTGGTCTCCCTTGGGTCCTGGGCCGCTGTGTTCCGAGCTCGGCCAGCTCAAGGGTGGGCAGCTGCAGGCAGGCCTGGGGGCTTGCCATGGTTATCTCTCAGGGCTCTGGCGGCCGCTGGTTGTGACCCCCGAGGTTATCCTCTGCGCCTCTCGGGAGGGGGGTTGGGACTTCTCCGGCGACTGTCTCCCTGGGGTTCCTGTGCTTTGGGGAGACCCTTGGATCTCTAGGGCTTGCAACTCCTCCATCTTCCACACATCTTTGAGGCCAGGTCTGTGGCCCCTCACACTCACGATTGGGCACTCCTAAAGAGAAACTTTACATATACAATTGTGTGTACGCACACAGATGCTCACGTGGTGCTCTCATGAGGAATGACTTGGGCAATTATATCAAATCACCTGTGTGGTGGCTGTGGTTCACACTAAATGCATTATGAATTATTTCTCAGCAAAAAATGTTACTTTTATATATCTCTATGTTGTTGACGCAGTGATATTTAGGTCTTGTTGTATTTTAGGGTGTCCCTTTTTTTCTCTCTCACACTTTCTGCAGGTCTTGGCATTCAGAAATCAATTCTGATTGCATCACAGCTGGACAGAACATGGTAAAAAAGAAGAAAGAGGGTGAGAAGCTTGGTTATCTGGGATGGGCTCGGAGTAGATCCACTGCTCATTCACATCAAGATGAGCCAAATGAGTTGGCTCGGGAATCTGACTAGCATTCCTCCTGGACACCTCCCTAGTGAGGTTTTCCGGGCATGTCCAACCAGAAGAAGACCTAAAGGAAGACCCAGGACACACTGGAGGGACTATGTCTTTCGGAACGCCTTGGGATTCCCCCGGAAGAGTTAGCCCAAGTGGCTGAGAAGAGGGAAGTCTGGGCCTCTCGGCTTAGGTTGCTACCCCTGTGATCCGACTCAGAAAAAAAAAGATGGATGGATAGATGGATAATTATTAGAGATTGTTTCAGCTGTTGCACTTGACGTGACAGCGATCAGCACAGAGAGGCATAGCATGCAGGAAGATTAGCACACTTCATTATTTCCCCTAAATGTGCTTGGATCAGAATCAGTGAGGTAACCCAGACTGTCTCCCATCAAGCCACTTTCACCATCTCCACATGGAACCACACATAATCCCTCGGTCATGTCCTAATTTACAACTGTGGGGTCTGTTCCTAGATGGGATATGCCTGAATCATCCCTTGGGAGGTGTCCAGTAGGCATCTCAACAAAACCCCCAAACCACATCAGCTTTCTGCCCTGAATGTGAAAGAGTATCAGGTCTCCTCCAAGTCCCTTCTGGATGTCTGAGTTCCCCATCCTATCTCTCTGGCTGAACCTCCAAATTAACCCTCTCAGGCTCAAAATAAGTTTTGATAAAAGGTCATACAACTAAGTTCTTCAGGGGAACTTCTGAGTTACGCAATGCTCATGAAATACTTATGTGGAGTAACCAGGTAGGTAGGGTTTAATGTAGCGAATCTGCAACGCCTGCCTCCATAGGGTTAAAATGAAGTATTGTAGGATATGTGTCTAGGCCACTTTGCCCCTGGTACCCCCCCCCCCCCCCCCACACACACACACACACACATTTTCTCCTGCTAATGTTAGCAGCTGTCACTCATTTCTCACCAGCAGCCACTCACCTGGTCCTGGACCTGTCATTCTTTATTTTGTGACAACAGTTCTGTATTTTTACATTTATGATTACCTGCCTGCATGTGTACATCTAAATAATTGCATTTCCAACATCACCTGCCTGAGCCTGTAGCAGTCTTGTGTCTTACATCAAGATTAAACTACAGTATGTTTTTAATCTTAAAAAAAAGCTTGAACTTTGTTTGTAAATGAGACCAAGTTAATAGAACTGTACAAAATTGGGAATATACCAGAATGCATTATACCGGTAAAAGATAATGCTTGAACAACAATCATACCTTCCATTAAACATACTCTGAAATGTGTGCCTTTTTGGTACCTTGGATCTTAAAGGTAGGGGCCACATCTAAAGCTATTGTTTACTTACATAAGGAGGACACCACAGACTTTTCTGTCCATCTTTAACCATGTGCTAAGAGACATCTACGTTCCTGAGGGGGCTGTGTAAATTAAACCTAGCTACGCAGGAACGGACCGATGCTACCAGGACTGTACCGGGCTGGGCAAGATGTGAAACTGCTAAAATGTACTATTGGGTCAGACCCAAATGCTGTGGTGAGCAGATATAACAAAATTAACTTCCTCATCTTGTTTCTGACCAATAACTTACTCTACAGTTTGACCTTTGATGATTAATACGGAGAAACTCACACGTATGTTATTCTTTTGTTTTAAAGAGGTCATTATTTTTGGATGAAGGCTAAAAATGAAAATGGTCACTGATAAATCAATCCTTGAACACGCACACACACATACACACACACACACACACACACACACACACACACACACACACACACACACACACACACACACACACACAATCATGAGACAAAATGTCTCCCCAGAGAGAGCAACACAAAACAAAGGCAGCCATACCTCTGACAATTAGATCTGCTGCTGCTGACACCGTGTCAACTTCAGTGTGCACCATACACACATATTTCCCAGAATGCCTGAGCTGAATGTTTCTCACCATCAGGTCACCTGTAAATCCCTAAAGACAGACACAAAAAAGCTTTGAAAATAGGAGAAAAAAAAAGATGGAAAGCAATAAAGTCAATAAATGAAAAATATAAAAAAGAACAAGAAAAAGAATTGAAAATCCCTAGAAACAAATTAACTTCCTTATGTGTTTTAAATCCTCTCAAAGGAAGCTTGACAGAGCTCACAGCAGACTGTTGAAGTACAGAAAAATGGCCACATTCTGGGAAAACAAATTATTCCAGTTTTGCATTGAAAGAACGGCAACATCAGAACAATTTGTTTCCTTTGGATCAGTCTCTGCTGTGTTTACACTCACGCTGACGGCTCAGATGAATGACTCCAGCTGGATTTTCAGAGATGATGTTTTTTTACACTCTACTGTGATAACATACCAAAAGACACAAGGGCTGTAGTTATTTTCCCCAAGAACAACACAACAATCTCCTTTGTGAGAATAAACAGATAGCTAGATAAAAATCGAAGATTTGTTTTTGCTTACCGTAGAAAATCCAATGTTACATGTGGACTACGGTGAGTCTGACACACTCATTGAGAGGAATCCTAGATCTATTGATCATGAGCATTTATTATTTTTTTATACTCTTTTTACCGGAAGCTAATAACAACACATAGCAAACTATCCAGAGGGGGCAGCTGTAGGATACTCGAGCTGCTGAGACCAAAAGAATCACAGCCTTTGTGCATACCTCAGTATTTTAATTTAAAACATAAAATTGTTTCACTTTGGCAGACATGCATGTGACACTGAACTACATGAAAGACTCATCCACCCATCCACGGATGAAAGAGGCTAGTGTATGTAAAATTATTACTATTTTAATAACTACCAATGAAGGAAAGTGAATGGGTTTCGCTTAAAAGAAAGATTCTGAGGGAAATATTCTGATCAGCCTTTAATAGCTGATGCCCACTAATATGCATGGTCACAATATAGTTTGCTGCCGTGTTAAAGCAACTCACAAATAGCAGAGCTGAATGTAATTTCCTCATTTAGGACCATAGCTATTGGCTGTCCTTGCAGTCATTAGATATAATCTTCTAATTTGCATAATGAACCATGAGCACGTGATTTAATTTGAGAGAAAAGAGGAAGAAAGCACAAGTGTGAGCTGCCTGTGAGTGCTTTGGGAAGATGGGGTGAAAGGCAGCTACTGTCACTCACTGAGCAGTCTACATAAGAGCCTTCATCTCCAAAATTGTTTAATAAAGCAAAAAAAAAAAAGAAAAAAGAATGAAAAAGGCTGATTTGTTGCTCATTATTCTTTTTTTTTAAAAGAACCATCTAAAGGGGTTTGAAAACTCATTAAATACAACAACAAAGTCTATGTTGGCAACACTGATTTATGTAAATTGTATACAACTTTACATCATTGTTCATTTTGCGTTACACAGATTAATTAGTACTGTAAATGCTCCAGGCTGCACTGCAGACTACCGTGATGTTTGTGCAGCAAATAAATTTGAAACTCTGTTAAGAAAACTGTAATTCAAAACTGACTTAGAAAAGCTGAGATCACCGTTGTTATAAAGGTTAGAAAAGAACGCTTTGGTGTCCATTTGGACTGTCAGGGGTCAGTTATGCCAAAGTCACAGATGTACAAGAAAACAATGTATGCCATGTTTCTATTTTATATGAATAAAATAACAGCATTCTCTGGTGGACACCGGGATCGAACCTACAACCTTAGGATTACTGGACAACCTGCTCTACCTCCTGAGCTACTGCTAGCCTGAGATAAATAACCGTCCCTTATGCACTCAGACACAAGATAATTTTGGTAGCAGGACCCCATCCTGGGGGAAGCCACTGTCCACCCGTGGACTTCGACAGTGCCAATAAGTTGGAGTTTGTGAACCTTCTCGCTATGAAGCCCTCACTAGCAGCTTATTTTAACCTGATCAGTAAAAATGGGGTGAGTGGACTAGCTGTTTTACCCTCTATTAAAGGTTTTCTGCCGGACAGGTCACCGTCGCCCTCGCACTCAGCTCTGCCACCATGTTGCAAACCTGCTTAGCAATGTGTTTGGCAGACCATGGAGCTCTGGTCCCATGTGGCAGCTCACTTACCCCCTCATCAACAAAATGTGGGACCTAAGATGCTCGCAATTGTTAAACGAGTCATCATCTCGCCTTCTCCACCCCAGACGCCAATGTCGCCAGTGGCAGTGGTGAGCCCCATTGCTGGACTAAGGGCCCTCCTCTGGGCTCAAAGGAATGCTCTGTGAACCGTGAAAGGAATACTCAGTCGTTCTGATCTCAGGACCGCGTTTGTTCAGGACATGGACTCTGCTGGACTTCCAAGCCTCAGTGTTCTGCGGGTGAAACGATCATGTTCGGTTGCCGTTCAACCCCCCCAGTCCTAAGATACTTTGTTTACTGCCCTAGGTGGGCGAAGGTTGCACTGTTTCCACAGTTTTGCACAATGTTTCAATAAAGACTGCTGTTTGCACTCAAAAGAATGTCAGTTTGATATGTCTGAATGCTGCATTTCAAAGTAGTCACATATGGTTCCATCAGCCCACTTTGCTGGAAACCAATGGTTTGATTTTCATCACAACTCCTATCTGCAAACAACTTCAAAAGAAGCAGCGGAGACTGTTTTCTCTCAATTGGCTGGTAAACAGCAGCTATCCACTGTTTGTAGACACAATAAACACAGTGCCGAGTCCTTCCGCTCGGCTAGAGGGCAATGGCGCAGTCACAACAGCGTTGAGCAGCCAGCTAACTGCGAACCTTTCTCTGGCACGCATGTGATGTCTCTCCTTGGGTCGAGCACCACGGGCTACCGCCGGTTATAATTCTGGGTCAGACCACCCGTGGTTGCTGCAGTTGTGAACACTATTGTGAAAGCAGATGCAGTGGTCATTTTGAGAGAGGAAATTCAGGCCGTTAACAAAAGGAGCTGTTTGAAGAGTCCCCTCAGAGAAACAAACAAGTGTTGGTACATCTGTTACCTTGTTGTCCTGAAAAGAGGAGGGCTTTGTCCCATTCTGGATTTGTAATTACTAAACAGGTTTTTGTGCAGGTACAGTTTTTCCAAATGCTGTCAGCCCCGGAGATTGGATTGTTGCGATTGATCTTGTGGATGCCAATTTTAAGGTGGAAATCCATCCCAATCACAGGCAGTTCCTGTGCTTCACGTTCAAATGGCAAGCCTACAAGTGTTCTCCCACTCGGACTAGCCCTAGCTCCCTGCACCTTTTCCAAATGTGTGGAAGCTGCATTGGCACCTCTCAGAAAGAATGGCATCCACGTTCTCAATTACTTGGACGAATGGGCTCTGGCAGTGAGTTCTTGGTCGCATGCGGAGGCTCACGTTTCCCAGGTTAAGCCCTGGGTTTTCTTCATAAAGTACGGGTAGAGCTCCCTAGTTCCGAGCCAGAGGGTTTCCTATCTTGAACTAGAAATATACTCTTGGTCAGCCAGAGCATGCCTCTCGGATCACCGGATTGCCGCTTTCCGCAACCACATGACCCACTTCCAACTGGGAGCCAAACTAACACACCCCATAGCTTTGCAGCTGTTAGGCACAATGGCTTCCACTATAGCCAAGGTGTCTCTCGGTTGGTTGGAAGTAGGGTCCGTCACTTCCAGCGTTGGGTATGCTGTAACCTTCTCTGTCCATTGTGGCATTTTCACTGGAAGTTTGCAAAAGGGCTACATAGGGGCTCTTCTCCCATGGAGAGAAACAGGTTGCTCCACCAGCGTTCTCCAATTTGGAGGTTGTCCGAGCGCATGGTGGTGACTACATAGGCTTCCCTGAAAGGATGGCTATGCAGGGTTATGACCAGTGCTGGAAATGTTTGTTTAAAAAAAAAACTAGGTCAAAGTTCAGTTCATACATTTTAAAACAAACTAGTTTGTTTCTTAGTTCATAATAAAAAAAAACTTTAACTACAGTAAGTTCCCTGTTCCAAAAACGAACTAGTTCATAGTTCTTTTTTCTCATATATATATATATATATATATATATATATATATATATATATATATATATATATATATATATATATATATATATATATATATATATCCAGCAGTGAGGAATCTGATGGTTGTGCACAGTAATTTTTGTCAGACTTTAAAGATCTGTGTACACATAAATCCAAATAACATGTTAAAGAATTATTTTATATAATGTGTTTCCTTCAAAATTAAACTCATTGAAGTATTTTGCAGGCTGCACCATATCATCGTTATTAACACTAATCACTAATAAAGTTTTAAGCTGCCTGTTTTTCAGATCAGATATTAGACATTAAGTGTTTATGCCATACAGATGTGATTTCTGGGTGTAGACAATTGTAAGAACTTCTGGTTTCAAGTTCAGCGAGTATTTCAAGTTGAACGTTTGTGGTAAAGTCAGCAAACTAATTCTCCCTGCACATGTTGGGCCTTACAGATAGTAAAAAAAAACATCCCAGAAAAGGTTACTGTGTGTGTAAAAATGTTTCCCCCAGTCCAGACATATTAAATGGAGCACATGGAGCTGCCCAGGGCTGCAAGCTAGGAGTGGGAGCTGGCCATTTGGAAGGGTTCTGGGGTTGTGGCTTGCTTTGCTCTGCGTTAGGCAAGGAGTCCTGCTCATCATTACTCCAGTAAAAAACGGGACCAGATCTGGTGTCTGGGAGTGTCTGTGCCCTCTGTGCTGCAGTACCGGGACCAGAGTGAGTAGGTAGGTGAGTGGGGAGCATGAGCGGGTGTATGACATACATTCTTGTGTGTCTTTAGGTTGAATGTGATTATGTGAGCATGAGGGCGGGAGTGTGTGACTGTGTGAAGTGGGGTCTTGGACTCCTCCCCTCTCCTGGGACATCTTTTGGTGCTGCAACATCCTGGTGGTGCCTCAGTTTGCCTGCGTTTTCGCAATTCCAGTGTCTGGGGCTGGAAGTTTTTGGCATCTGCCAGCTAGCTCCAGGTCCCTGTGCTCTGTCAGGTCTCAGCGAGGTTGGGCACCCTTGGATCTCAGGCTGCTGAGTTCTGAGGCTGAGTTCCAGAGCTTGCTATTTATATCTCCTGGGCATCTCGGGAGGGGGGTCGGGGCTTCTCTGGCAGTAGTCTCCCTGGGGTCTCCGAGCTCCAGGGGAGACCTTTAGATCTCTGGGGCTCCATCCTCCGCGGATCTTTGGGGGCAGGTCTGTGGCCCTTCATTCTCAACATTGAACACACCTATAGATAAACCTTACATATACAAGCACATGTACGCACACAGGAGTTCACCTGGTGCTCTCACAAGTATGGACTAAAGCCTTTTTGACACATAACCTAAGGCTGCGGTTGGCACTAAATGCACTATGAAATATTACCATGTGCCAGTCAGCAAAATATGATAGTTATATATCGTCATGTGGTTGGCGGAGTGACATTTTGGTTGTGTTATGTTTTTATGTCTGTTTTTTTCTCTCTTTTTCTGCAGGTCTAGAAGCGGATTCTTCAACATCCTTTATGTACTTATTTTTCTCCCCTCTTCCTTTCTTCTCTCAAGACTCCCCTGTGTGATGCTGCAAACTGGTAGACCAGAGGTTTGTGTCAAGTCAGTTGGTGCAGCTCCACTTGGATAGATCGATGCATTTCTGTGCACCACAAACCTTTATCTCACGTAATTCCCCACATTGCTTACCATATATGCAACCATTGCCCCATACAAAACTATGTGTGATCATAGGACAAGGAGAAGCAGCTGTGAGGAGCAAAATTGTGGAAGTTAATTTTCCTGAGGAAATACACAGATTATCAAGACCCCCACCCCCCAAAAAAGAAGAAAAAAAAGAAAAGGAGCAGATGTTCTTTTTAAGACTGAAATCACCTGCTACAGGTTTTTTCTCAACAACACAAACAACGGGTGTTGATAAAAGACAACTAATTCTTTTTACATCCTGTGATTTAATCAAGACTCTGTGTATAAAAGTTCCTATGCATTTCCTGCCTTTGGAGCAGATTGGACTAAACATTAGACTGTGTGCCATGTCTGTGTTGGCTTTCCTTGCAATGCGAGCAAAATAAGACAATGCAAAGGAAACTAGAAGCAAATCTCACTTGGTTACTGTCAGATTTTTTCCATTACATTTATCGATCAAAGGAAATGGCCAAAACCCTCTTGAAATCTCAAGTGTGAATAACATTTGGCTTGATACCCTGTTTGAAATTGTTATTGTAGCATGAAAACTACAATAATAATAATAAGAAAAATGAATATATGGTATTTCCTTAAACTTCCAAATAAGGCCTCAAATTGGTTGGTGGTTAAAGGTTGCAGTTAGCCAATCAGGGACCAGATGTTTGAATATGAATATTAATGGTGAAGACTCATAATCATGTTGTTTTCTCCCTACTCCTCTGATTAACGTCTACTTTTGTTAAACCGAAGTGCCAAAGTTTTTCCTCCATACAAAACAACTCAAGTTATCTATTCATACTAGAAACCACAGCAGATTTATTGAAATCACAAGTGAATTAGGGCTTTACACTAATGATGATCACACTCATGAGTTTTACTAGCCAATGCCGTGTTCAAACGTTCCTAACCTTTAACTCATCACCAAAAAGACAATATAATAAACAAAAATAATAAACAAAATTATTTTGAAACTCATCTTTAGGAGTTCATGGTTTGCCTTTCTTCCCAAATTTTACTGTGCAGTTGATGCATTCTGGTTTGAGGCCGTAATGTGACCAACTTTGATTAGTGAAGTTTGTTTCTTTAAACATCAAAAGCGGGATAAAAATACATTTTAGTTTATTTTTCATTGTGTCTTCTTGGGAAAATGGCGTAATGTTCACCAGGTTAATGAAGCATTTGAAACCATGGCTTGGTGCCTGTGGAGATGGACAGCCCGTATGCTCATCAGGACAGGTTCTGATGGGTGGATTATTGTTCTTCACTGCTCCTTGCTTCATACAGCACTCATGAGTTTGACACGTTTCAATTTAAAGAACCATAAAAAATACTCAGACAACTTTTCCTTAACCCTTTGATGCATATTGGTCGCTACAGTGAACAGGTACTCTAAATTGTTATTTATTTATTTATTTATTTATTTATTTTTGCTATGAAGCACAGCTGTTGAAGACTTTATTGCATTTGAGCCCCTCCATTTGGACTTCAGCAAGCCAAGCCAACATATTCCAGGTTCAGAATGAACATGTAATAAATTATTTATATGTTGTTTAATGTTACAAAAAATGTTTGTTGAAATTTGTTTCATTCACACTTAATTATAAATGAAAAAAATTGTTTAAAAAAATCATGGTTAAAGATTTCATAATTCATGCATCGAAGGGTTACGTCACTGAGAAAAAAAAAACAAATCTTTAAATCAGATGTTTTGGTGGATGCCAGGGCTGGAAAACAGAACAGTTGTGTGTTTTTGTCAAGCCTGTTTTTCTAAGCAATGATATTGTGTTACTTTACCATTCATGACCTCTGCTATATCATTTTTTTGATTTTTTCTTTTATTTGGTAAACAAAAGGATATTCGTTGTTGTTGCAAGCTATAGACGCAAGCAACATTTTTCACCCAGCTCTGTGCTGACACTGGAAGAAGGGCTGCTGCAGGAGATTTAGTATCTTAGTAACTTCATAAAAAGCAGCAGGAAAAATGTTACATTTGGTCAAATATAGAGATGCCAACTATCTAGCAGTGCAAGAGCCTTTACTTCTGCTTTCTACCCTTGTCAACAACAGATTTGATAATTATTTCTTGGCTCAAGATGCGCGGCAGGTTTGAGCAATTAGCACTTGTTAGAGTCTGATCATGTTGCAGGCTCTAGAGATGCTGCTCACAGCAGAGACAAAAAAAGACAATGAAAAAAGTCTCTGTCAGAGTGAGCTGCAGATGTCAACGCATTAAGAACAAATATACTTATAAAGCCAAAAGTTACACAGCCTTGCTGACAAATGTCTTGATTTTACCTGCAAACAAACAGACTTTTCCTTCTTGTGAGATCTTACTTTAATTAATTTAAAATAAAATATCTAAAATATGTTTTCATGCCTCTTAACGTTTTAAGATAGTATAGTGATACATATTTTGTGGACATTAATAAAACTATAATAAAGTGTTTCTCTCACATTTGTCTATAAACCGTTGCCATTAGTACGGCTCTGTCTGAAAACACCCTGTTACTAAGAAAACTGATTGAGAGTCCATTTTGGATCTAATCTGAGTCAAATTGAATTGTGATTTATTGTACAGTTCACATCCCTATAAATAACTATTAGGCAGATATTGCAGACCTTCTCAGTGACCTATGGTGTGTGTGTCCACCCTGGGATTGGGAGATTGGGGTTCAAATCCACAGTCAGGTCACACCAAAAACTTTAAAAATGGGACCCAATTACTCACCGCTTTATACTCAGCTACGTACGTTATCCTGAGCCGGGATTCTCTGGAGGTTTCTTCCTGCTAAAAGGGAGTTTTCCTCTCCACCGTTGCTTTATGCTTGCTTAGTATGAGGATTGCTGTATAGTCACTGACACTAGTCAGTGACTTGATGCAATTTGCTGGGTTCCTTATATAGGAAACATTATTTCTGATTGGCTTAATGAACTGTCCTGTATTGGAATGTTTATTATGTGAAGTGCCTTGAGATGACTTTTGTCGTGATTTGGCGCTATTTAAATAAACTTGAATTGAATTGAATTGAAAGGGGTTGGATTGAGGGGTTAAATAGTTGCCGAGCACAGCCACAGTTGCAGCTGCCCCCTAGGAGATGTAATTTCACCAGTGTGTGATGATGATACTGGGACTTTATATAAAAGTGGCCAAAATCTTAAGAAGCCCAGAAGCATGCATGCGGCTAGTACTTTACAGCTGCAGTACACAAAGTTGTGATAAAATTTAAATATTAAAATGCATGCTTTTCTTTTTTCACCAAGAATTCTCTCACACAAGTACATACTCCTCCAATCATCTCAAAGTGCTCCTGCCTGCTGAAGTCTATGGCTTTCCCACTGAAAAACCACTTGAAGACGGGGTTTAAAGATGAATCACTGGAGACCTCACAGGGCAACACCAGACTCTGTCCCACAGTGGCGTCTGAACTTAGAGGTGGGATGGTGATCCTGGTGGGCTCTGCAGCAGAACAAGAGATAAAACGTGAGCTCATTTGTTACTTTGTGTGTGTGTGTGTGTGTGTGTGTGTGTGTGTGTGTGTGTGTGTGTGTGTGTTTGTGTGTGTGTGTGTGTGTTTGTGTGTGTGTGTGTGTGTGTGTGTGTGTGTGTGTGTGTGTGTGTGTGGGTGTGTGTGTGTGTGTGTGTGTGTGTGTGTGTGTGTGTGTGTGTGTGTGTGTGTGTGTGAAGGTATCCCTATAAAAGCTGCCTGAATGAAGAAGGTAATAAAGCTTAATTAGCCCCGAATAATGAGAGACGGATTCTGGTCCATCAGTGTAATTAAGTGACCTTAAATAACTTCACTTAGGAATCAAACACCTTTTATAAATCAGTAATGAATAATTTAACACACAGCTTTCACAGCACCAAATAGAAAAAAATGAAGACTTCATCTATATAATTATCTTTATTTAAATCCTAAACCTAAAAATACTACAGCTTATTTAATGAAAGCAGCTTGGTTCCACTGGGAAAGATGAGTAATAACAAAACCACAGGAAACTTCTACATGTGTCAGAAAATCAACGGGAACAAAACAGCTTTATATTTCATTATCAGTGTCAATCCGTTTATTTCTTATTATTTTTTTCACTAAGAAGTTTAGGTGAAAAGTTGCCAGAGGTGTTCTGCACGAGTTACCTTTCACCACCAGAGTTCCTGAGCTGCTGGACACTCCAAAGTGGTTCCTGGCCACACATGTGTACCTGCCCTCATCAGATTTAGAGATGTTGGTGATGCGAAGCGTTCCGTCCTCCATGGTGGTCTGTCTGAAGAGAAAGACAAAGCTGAAAATATTCCATCCAATATTTTATTTTTAATCAGTCAACAGCTCTTTTAGTTGATGCTGCTTTAATTCACTTCACTTCACGCTGATAGTTTGCTGCTTGAATGGGGGATGGGGGGTGTCATTTAACTGCTTGGTCAAACATGTTAGTGGGGCTGCATAAGAAACTTGAGCAGGTGCCTGGCTTCTCCCGTCTCCTGCCAAAGATCAGTTGTTAGAGCAGGAGGCTGGCTGTTCTAGTTTCCTGGGGTAGCCGGGACGCACGCACCCCCTCCGTTGCGAGGCTGTGGTCATGTTGGTTACTTGTGAATCTCTGAGGGAGACCACAGAAACGCTGCAGCTCTTTAAGTTGACGCTGGTTCAATGCACTTCACTTCACTTCACTTTAGGCTGATAGTTTGCTGGTTGAATGGGGGAAAATTCGATGCATTTACGATAACACCACTTGGTCTAAGATGGGTTAAAATATAATGTGTTGGTGTGGCTGCTGGGTAACGAAACTAGAGCTACATATCTGACCGAGGATAGCTGAGGCTATCGAGCTTCGCTGTTCCACCACGGTCAAAGATCTGCGAGTCCGCTGTTGTTGAAGTTCCCAGCTCAGGGAGTGTCAACAATGGTTGACTTGCAGATCTTGACAGTGGTGGACCAGCAAAGCCAGATATCCTCAGTCAGCTTACCTAGTGTAAGTAAACTGTCAATAAAATATGAAAGGTGTGCAACAAAGAATAATGTTCCATCAAACTATGAGTCATTAATATTGTTGGACCTTTAATATCCGATTGACTCTGGAAATAGGTACTCTGGGTGGCCGGGGAACAAACACTTATTAATAATTTTACACAGAAACCAAAATTATTTTTTTAAACTCAATCTACTATATTTCTATGACTAATGATCACACAAAATAACAGAAGGTAAATGCTTTGTCAAGATAATATCAACTGAAACAATAACCAAACTCTAATGAAACATGATCTTGGATGTTATCAAGAGTCTAATTAAGTGTCATATGAAAGATGTCAAGTCTGGGCTTACAAGGAAAATCTGGCAGGATTTAGTGATGTTTGATTAGTTATCAATTAATCATAACCCATCTGACACCAGTTTGCAGAGTCTACAGTACCATTGGTGAGAGTTCCTGGTAGGTCCAACTGGCAAAGCTAAGTTGGTCTCAACAAGACTGAGGAGCAGTTGGTCTCAAATGTTAATCTTCTGGGGCATTAAGAGTTCAGATGTCCCTTGAATAAAGCTTGGCTGGTCTGAGGTTACTTTCTGGTATAGAAATTTGCTTCTGCTGGAGGCTGACGAGTTGATTGGCGCCTGATGAAGTTGTAGCAGATTAAAACAAATCTCGGGACATTGTAGATCGGTGTGCAGAGTACTTCAAACATCTCTTCAATCCCACCGGCATGTCTTCCAGTGAGTAAGCAGAGTCTGGCAACTTTGGATTGGGCTCTTCATTGTGGGATTCTGGAAAGGAGAGTCCGACAGATTGTCGAACCTCGGACTCAGGAGGAGCAATGTGGTTTTCATGCTGGCCGTGGAACACTGTACTAGCTCTATATCCTTTCAGGGGTCCTGCAGGGTGTGTGGGAGTTTGCCCAACCGATCTACATGCAGTCAAGTGTGAAGTGGCTGGGATGAGAATTAGCTCATGTACATCCAAGACCATGGTATTGAGTCAGAAAAGGGTAGAATGCCTTCTCTGGGTCAGGGATGAAGTCCACGCTCAAGTGGATGAGTTTAAGTATCTCAGGTTCTTGTTAACAAATTAGGTAAAGATGGAACGTGAGATCGATAGGTGGATTGGTGCTGCATCTGCAGTGATGCGGGCATTGTACCAATCTGCTATGGTGAAAAGAGAGCTGAGCCAGAAGGCAAAGCTCTCGATATACCGGTCAATTTACATTCCTAACCTCACCTACTGGTCACAAGCTTTGGGCAGTGACCGAAAGAATGAGATTGCAGATACAAATGGCCAAAATGAGTTTTCTCAGAAGGTTGGCTGGGCTCTCCCTACTGTTGTAGAGGCTATCTCCTCGTTCTCTATAATTAATGCTTATCTGGTTTCTGGTCAGGTCCCTGCTTACTTTAAGATGAACTCTGTAATCCACCCGCTTCTTAAAGAAATGAGTCTTGACCCCTCTCTCCATAGCAGCTTCAGACCCATCTCTAAACTTCCATTCATCTCCAAGATCTTGGAAAAGGTTGTGGCTAAACAGCTCACAGCTGCTCTTGATTAACATAACATCTATGATAGCTTCCAGTCAGGTTTTCGTAGAGCTCATTCTACTGAAACAGTTCTTCTTAGGGTCTCTAATGACCTTCTGACTCACAGTGATGCAGGGGACTGTTCTGTTCTGGTCCTGCTGGACCTGACTGCAGCCTTTGACACTGTTGACCATCACCTGCTACTGGAGAGGCTGGGAGACTGGGTAGGCCTATCAGGAACTGCTCTGGAGTGGTTCTCTTATCTTTCTGAGTGTTCCTTTTCTGTGGCCGTCTCTAAGTTTAGGTCCTCCACCGCCTCCCTTACCCATGGTGTCCCACAAGGTTCTGTGCTGGGGCCTCTGCTCTTCCTCCTCTATTTGCTTCCTCTTCAGCACATCCTAAGCTCCTTCAAAGGAATCTCCTACCATCTTTACGCAGATAACATCCAACTGTACATCTCCTTTAAGCCCCATGAGATGTCTAAGCTGCAGCTGTTCCACACCTGCTTAGCTTTCTACAGCTGAATGAAGATACGACTGAGATCCTCATCTGTGCCCCAGACAAGCTGGTTGCCAAAGTCAGAGACTCTCTTGGTCAGCTTACTTCTCACACCAAACCTTCTGTCAGGAACCTTGGCATGACCTTTGACGAAGCTCCCACCCTGGATTCTCATGTCAGTTCTCTTGTTCGCTCTTCCTTCTTCCATCTCAGGAACATTGCTAAGCTGAGTCCCATTCTGTCCCACTCTGAACTTGAGACAGTTCTCCACATCTTCATCTTCTCACGCTTAGACTACTGTAACTCTCTTTTCACGTGTCTGAGCAGAACCTCCCTTTACCGTCTACAGGTGGTTCAGAATCCCTGTGCTCGGCTTCTGACCAAGTCCTCCAAACACACCCACATCACCCCACTTTTCCTCCAGCTTCACTGGCTGCCAGTCAACTTCAGGGTTCATTTCAAGATCCTGGTTCTGGTCTATAGGGCCTTACATGGACAAGCACCATCTTACATTGGTGATCTTCTTAGTCCCTACACCCCCAGCAGGTCCCTGAGGTCCAGTGATCAAAGCCTACTGGTTGTGCAGCGCACCAGGCTTAAGACCAAATGTGATGGATCATTTGTGACTCTGGACCTCTCTCCCCCTGAGCCTGAGATCAGTGGACTCGATGGTCTCCTTTAAAAAGCAGCTGAAGACTCACTTGTTCAAGCTGGCTTTTGTATGACCTTCTTCATCCCCTCTCTCTTTATTCTGCTCTCCCCACCTATTCCACCTTCCTCAGGATCCACTGATTTCCCTCTTTCCTGTTCACTCTCTCTCTTTCTTTACATTTTTTAATCACGCTTGTCTATTTTTTGCTCATTTTAAATATATTTGTAACCATTTTCTAAATACTTTTTTTAGTTTTACAAATGTTGTTGTTGTGAAGCGCCTCGTGATTTTTATCTTGAGAGGCGCTATAGAAAATATATTTTCATCTTCTTCTTCTTAGAGATAGGTTGAGAAGCTCAGTCTTCTGGGAGGGACTCAGAGTAGACTTGCTGCTCCTCCACATGGAGAGGCACCAGTTGAAGTGGCTCAGGCATCTGGTTAGGATGCCTCCTTGACGCCTCCCAGATGAGGTTTTCTGGGCACATCCAACCAGGCTCTACCTAAAGGTAGACCCAGGACACACTGGAGGGACTGTTTCTCAGCTGGACGGGGACCATCTTGGGATTCCCTCAGAGGAGCTGGCCCAAGTGGCAGGGGAGAGGGAAGTCTGGGCCACTTGACTTAGACTGCTGCCCCCGCGACCTGACTCCGGATAAGCGTCTGAAAACGGATGGATACTTAGCCAGATTAAAACTTTCAGTGGAACTGTGGATGTTTTTTGGTGCTGATCAGTGACATCACTGGCTGCCAAAGCCATCGCAATATGCTGATGTCCATGCAAAGTCCTGAAAGAGCTGAATTTGAAAGGAGACTGAACAGCTGAGGACCGGGACATCATATCTCCCGGCCAGTTTCTGTTTCCCAGAATTTACCCTGACATTCTGACAATGGAAACAATGCTCATGAATTCTAAAAAATAGCGTCAAAGCTATGATATGAATGACAAAATCTTTTTCAAATATGGCGTTTTTTCTCTCTCCAAGAAAACTTGAGACTCTTGACATGGACCGTGTGTATTCTGTGTCGTTTGCGGGGTTAGGGTTAGGGTTAGGGTTAGTTAACCCTAACCCATAGGTGGAGGCGCTGGGGGTCAAAGAGCCAGTCCTCCAAAGGATGACAACCAGTCGACACACTCAGCACACAGTGCTGCTCTCATTATATCATGACAGTAAGAAACCAGGACATCTCATGGGATCAGGAAGTTTTCATAGACTTTGCCTCATATGAAGTGAAACACAAAGTTTTCCTGCCCAGAGAAGCTTTAACAATAAAGAAAATTGGGATTTTAATCATAGAATCCAATGTAGATGTGACGCTTGCATTTATGAAGTTTCACGGTGTGTAATGGTGATGATTGTAGACTGGTTTCAAACAGAGAAGTCAGAAAGCATGTTAACATGTGCATAAACAAGACAGATTATTCTCTCCTGTCATGACCTATGGAATCAGTAAATCAAACAGAAATGCTGTGAGCAGCCAGCTCAAAAGTCAAACAATTTCATACTTGCTCTCAAGAACAAATACATATTCACTTGGGCCAGGCTTAGACCCAGAGAGCATGTCTGACACATGGTGCTTTGCGATGAATTATTGGCAAAAAATCAAATGCTGAGGGATGG